GCACACACGCGCTCACGCACACACGCGCTCACGCACACACGCGCTCACGCACACACGCGCTCACGCACACACGTCGCACACGCACACACGCGTTCACGCACACACGTCGCATACACACGCTCACGCACACACGCGCTTACGCACACACGCGCTCACGCACACACACGCATACACGCACACACGCACACATGTCGCACACACAGCGCATACACGCGCTCACACGCTCACGCACACACGCGCTTACGCACACACGCGCTCACGCACACACACGCATACACGCACACACGCACACATGTCGCACACACAGCGCATACACGCGCTCACGCACACACGCACACACGCGCTTACGCACACACGCGCTCACGCACACACACGCATACACGCACACACGCACACATGCCGCACACACACAGCGCATACACGCGCTCACGCACACACGCACACACGCGCTTACGCACACACGCGCTCACGCACACACGTCGCACACACGCGCTCACGCACACACGTCGCACACACGCGCTCACGCACACACGTCGCACACACGCGCTCACGCATACACGCGCTCACGCACACACGCACACATGTCGCACACACAGCGCATACACGCGCTCACGCACACACGTCGCACACGCACACATATCGCACATACGCGCTCACGCACACACGTCGCACACGCACACACGTGCTCACGCACACACGTCGCACACACGCGCTCACGCACACACGTCTACGGCTACGGGTACCAGTCTAGCTTGCTGGCTAGCTTGCACGTGAACTCGAAAAAAAACGGAAAACGCGGAAACAATTCTGGGATCGGGAAAAAAGCGGAAATCCGTGGAAACGCGGGAAATTTTCATGCCTGCATGTTGCCTCGGTGCTATTATATGTAGAGTATGCTGCACGTGCAAGAGAAATCACCACCCCCACTCAAACAGCTGCCTACTGGATGCCGGCGATATATGTATATAAGTGTACCTGTGTGTTGCAGAGGAGCATTTGACCGGCATTTACAGGTAATTATCGGCAATACTAGGCGAAAGAGAGTAGATAAACATGAAGACATAAGACATTAAGACATTCAAGTAAAACACGCATGCGATGTGGTTGCGATGTAAATACCTCGCTATGAGAGCGTTTAAACTGATTAGTTGTGCAATTTATACAATCAGACCGTTTGTTCTATGTCGATAGCTACTGTCAAGCGATCGATTGGTAGACTGGTTCGTGGCTCCATTGTTTAAAAAAATGTTTGTACTGTCATAGGGTCTAGCGTGCTTAGAGCGTGCAGAGCGTGCTAGCGTCTACTTGTACTAGCGCATCTATTAAACAGGGAAAACTTGTTGATGGCAATGAGTATATACATATATAGCTCTTTAGATCTTGGTTGAGAGAAGCTGCTGCCGGGGACTATAGTAAAATCGATGGGAGGATGGGAAATTGGGACAGTGAGGGACGAGGAAAATAACTGTACCCTTGTAATAAATTATTCATCTTTGTAATAAAATATATATCCAGTCGCAAACACTTGACATGCCACCCTTTTATTGGAATTGTCTGAAGTTTGATACTATGGAATTATATAGTTTTAGAGCAAGACAATCTGTATACATACACAAGTACATATAAACAATTTACCTATTTAAGTCTGCTTCCCCCTTCAAGATCTTTTTACGTGAGTTCCTTGGAGTCAGTGTGTCTGCAAGCAGCAATGTAAGAGCCCAGTCACTATGTGAGCAGTCATACAGGTCACCAGCTGGTTTACCTACAAGAAAAAACATAAAAATCTTTGTTTATTATTACTACAGAGACACCCCGACTTACGAACAGGTTCGGTTCCGAGCGGTCGTTCGTAAGTGAAACATATGTACGTACGTATACAGTATTGTACAGTAGTGTAGTATACAGGGTAAGATACTAACCATTTTAGTTCATTAGTCCACAGGACTAGTAAAAGAAATGAAAGTGTCAATGACACTGTAGCTCACCACAAAAAAACACAAATGAGTGAGTGAGAAGCAGTCAGTTTTAATTGAGCAACCATCGACGTACATTATAGAAACGAAGAATATATATGGGAGAACTCCCAATATATATATATATATACTCTTGATACTCTTTGTGACGGTAGATGGCGCTATACCCACTTTGATGTTTCTTAGCGATGGTGTTTGAAATAAATAGGTTATGCTGCGTTCCGACATGTTTTGTAAAACTTTACTCTAATATAGACGTTTTATCGGCAGGGTTGAGAGAAATACGCAATTTGTGCG